TGTTTTTTTTTTTTTTTTTTTTTTTGATAGCTGGAGTAAAGTGAGGGCTAAAGGTGATCCATAGGTTTAGAAATTAGCTGTAAAACAAGGGCAGAAAATAAATGGCCTAGTGGTAGGAAAGAGTTTAGAAATGTATCAACCCCATTTTCCCAACTCCTTCTGACAGGGTGAGAGAATGAGCATCACGCATTGCATGGAATTCCTGGCAGAGAACCAAAAGCTAATAAAGAGGAGGTTTAAGCGAACAAAGAAGTTGAAATACAGAGTAGTTTGTTTACAATTCAAGGAAATTTCACAGAGTGTGATGGTGTAGGCCTTGGAGCTGTGGCAAATTCAGAGGAAAAACTTCAGTTGTGTGGCATGTGAGTAAAGGAGACTTAAGGTAGACAAGGGAATTGCTGGTACTGCCAGGAATAGGAATGAGCATTATCAGGAATGAGAGAAGAGATGGGACCGATTGGCCTTAATGTTTCCTCAACACCTTTAGCCCGAGAATGATTTTGTATTCACATTTGAAGTGTCTTAGAGGATGTGCACTTTTGTTCAGCAAATGTCCCCTTGCTCGATGTTTTGGCAGGAGAGTTCACAAAAGTTGTTCTCTGTGATTCTAGCTAGCTCATCTCTGAGTGGAGAAGTAGTGGGCATAGATAGGTCCAACTACTTGGAGAAAACCAGTGACTTTCATACAGCAGAACTGGATCCATTTATAGATGGGAAGTGCACAGAGACCTGGCGTCCTGGTTTGATAAGTCTGTTTTCACAGATAATCCCCAGACTGCCACATGTAGCCCTCAGAGGAATGCATGGTGCTAAATAAGCAGTGAATTTGTTTTGTTAGGAGAAACGCCTGGAAATGGAAGTACTGTAAGCATTGACTTTTTACATAGTCAAATTACTTTCCAAAATGAGACTCCTTCATTTAAAAAAAGAAAAAAAAAATCTTTTGTGTGAAGTATTAACTGTTGAATCTGGCAGAAGAGATCAGAAATGGGGGTGCTTCTCTAAATTTAGAGATTTATAACCTTAGCATGGGAAAGGATCTAAGCAAATTTCCAAGCTCACTCCTGCTTCCTTTTGCAGAAGTGGTAATGGAACATCAGTTGTGTTTTACTGAATCGTTTCCACTTCAGAGAAGAAAGATGTGTACTTTACTGCCCTTCCATTGTGTTTTCTCCTAAAGTGAGTGCGTTGACAAGCTGATTTCTTATGCAGGCAGAGGCATTTAACAGCTCCAAGCTAGTCTGTGTCTTGGGAAACCATTCTTGTCTTTGAAAGTTGTTCTTTTGGCTTGCTGTCTAAGATTTAGGATATATTTAAGTCTCAGTCAGTTCCAGAAGAGCTCCTGTAAATAAGATTCCCCCCTTTTAATCCTTTCAACAGCTGCCCCATGGAGATAGGTTAAGAGGTGAATATTTATTGCCACACAGGAATCTCTCTGAGTAAAGTATAGATTCTTTGGGAAGACAGTTTTTTAGCTCATCTATCAAGGTGTCATCTGGTAGCGTAGTGGTTACGAATCGGGCTGTGAACCTTAAGGTCAGTGGTTCGAAACTACCATCCGCTCCGCAGGAGAAAGATGAGGCTTTCTACTCCCGTAAAGATTTACACCCTCGGAAACCCTGTATAGGGTCGCTATGGGTCGGACCTGACTCGATGGCACTTAACAACAACAACAAAATATCAAGGTGTCATGTGCTGTTAAATGATACGTTTTGATTTCTTTTTTTGAGTTAATTTTTGTGTAGCACCCAGCAGAGATCAGTATAATAGGACATACCAAGAATAAGCATTTAATGGCTGTGATGGTTTTATATTGATACTACTCCCCTTACTGTTGGAGGCGAGACAGGTGGCAAGAGGTCAGTGCACCTTGAAAGAGGAGATCTCTAGAAAGGGGCATGTGGGCAGGCAGGGTATTGGAAGAATGCAGGTGATCTAGTTCCTTTATTGTTCTCTTATCCAAAATGGGACTGATAATAACTTCTCATGTTTGTTGTAAGGATTAAATGAGTTTGTGTTATATTTCACACCCCACCACAGTGCCTGAAATTGAATGGCTTTTAAACAGATCAGGGATCTCTAAACAATTTACCTTTGACTTAAACTGACAAAAATTATGCATAAATTTAGAATATTGGAAGTTATAGATAAGGGAGAGAGAATAAAAATGTGCCATAAGCACTGGACTGTGAACCACAAGATCCACAGTTAGAACCCACCAGCTTTTCCTTAGAAGAAAGATGAGGCTTTCTGCTTCCTCGAAGATTTAAAGCCTCAGAAACCCTATGCAGGGTCACTATGAGTCCAAGCTGACTAAAGGGTACTTTAACAACAACAACAACATTCTGGAATGTTCGAGTTTGGAAGAAGAAGGTGAGATTTCCAGGAAGGTTATGACCTCAAGTACGTGAATCTACACATTTACAATGCTGATTCAGCTGCATCCCACATTGCAGGTGAAAAGGCATGTGAAAAATATCCTTTGACAAGAAGTCAAAGCAGCAATATGCTAATGTTTTTGAAAGTATAACTAGATTTTTGATTACTAAACCAAGCCCTCAGAAGGCCAAAAAGGCAGTAATAGTTTTTTTTTTTTTTTTTACATCTTGTGGGAAGATAAAATGCTTTAATGAGGGGGCCAAGATTTGAATATTTGTGTGCAAATGATATGACCATTGTCAAAACAACACTGACAAAATAAGGTAATGAAATTAGAAAAGTCTGTATCTGGCCCCTTTCCCCCACTTCCTCCAAATGCCCTTGTTTTCTGAGCCCTCCGTTTTATGATACATGACTTGGTCACCTGGCTTCTGTAAAGAAAGTCATTTTTTAGAGTTGACCTGAGTGGGCACTTTTCCTTTTACAACTTGGATTTTTGGTTTTTTTAACACCGTAAGTTTCAGACCACAACTTTTTTTGGGTATAATTTATATACAATAAAATGAGCAAATTTTAAGGTACCATTTGTTGAATTTTGATAAATGTATACATTTGTTACCAACACCGCAGTCAAGATATTAAATAGTTTCAGTACTTCCCTCATAAACGTTTGGAATGTGTCACTGCCTGCCGTCATGAGTTTAATTTCCGACACTGTTGATTAGTTTTTGTGTGGCACTTTTTGTGTCTGGCATCTTTCACTCAGCACAGTGTCTGTGTCAGTCTATCGTTGAATGTAAGGGAATGCCCAGTTTGTTCCCCCTGTACTTATGTCAGGTAATAATATGCTTAGTAACTTCAAAATCACAGTTTAACATCTGTGTAAGTAACTCTACTAGTTATAAAAACACCAGTCCCCATTCCTGTTCGTTCCAGAATGCTCATGGCTCCCATGGTGTATTACAGATAATTGCTATATACTGTCTACATTCAAAGAGGAAAAAGAAATCTTAACTTCCATCTTTTTCCTGCTTCTACTACTTTAACATGCCGACTTTACTCAACTCTCACATGGCCTATTATGTAGAAGCTATAAATATATAATTACATATATGGTGGTGGTAGCTTACCAACTCACAGTCGTTTCCAACTCATAGTGACCTTGTGTAGGATTTCCAAAGCAGTAAATCTTTATAAACAGCCGCAGAAAGCCTCATCTTTCTCCTGAGGTGTTGATGATAGATTCAAACTGCTGGTTTTGCAGTTAACAGTCCAACACTTGTTGTTGTTGTTAGTGCCGTTGAGTCGGTTCTGACCCATAGCAACCCTGTATAGGGTTTCCAAGGAACAGCTGGTGAGCTTGAAGTGCTGACCCTGCAGTTCGAATGACTTTGCAGTCTGGTGCACTAATCCACAGAGCCACACCAGGAGTCCATGCTGAATGTACTGTAATACTAGAACTCCTGCTGTAGGTTAAGCACTGGGCCACAAGGTCAGTTTGAATCACAAGG